GCGCTTTCTTTCTTTGACGGGATTCCTGATCTTTTGGAGGATATCATATTAGAGAACATCTCTGACTAACGTCGTGTCTGTACTTGAATCCAGGCCTTGCTTCTGACAGTTGGATTGCATGCCTCTTCAAAAGCATCCATTTGCGTTCTACGACAAAGCTGGGCACACCGTTACCCCTCCACGAAACAAAGCGAACACAACTTGTACCTGAGCGAATGGCTTTAGTACTCCTCCGGAGTCATAACGCTGCCTCAATCCCTCAATTAGCCGTGAGCCAATAAGAATCCTAAGCGTGCTTTGCCCGCAGGCACTCAACAATACGTAAACATGCCTCTCTGAAAGGCCAAACTCCGTCGAGTAGATCTCTACAATTGCACCATAAAAATGTCTGCCAAGTGATGCGTTGTTTTGGGGGCACAGACCCTTTAGTGGTTGATTTGAAGAAGGTCAATATCAGGCAGCTGCGGCTTTGAAGCAAAGGCCCGGGCGGACAGGGTAAGAATGCCCACCTAAGAAACCTCACCACAACCTCTCAAAATGTGGTCTTGAGCTCAATGGAGTAATCCGAGAGGCCATAAAAAGAAAATTGTATGCATCGGCTTGCTGCATAGACCCCAACCGGGCCCGCCTTTGAATAAGGTAAAGAGAGCTCAGCTCCGCATTGGCAGATCCCTGCAAGCCTGGGCCTTCGGATGTGGACAATGCTCTCGACTGACCTCCGAAGGTAATATCAAACTGAGTCACCGCCTGAGCAAAGAGTTTTGTTGCGCGGGCAAGGGTCCTCAAGGCAAAATACTGTTAGCCCTTATGTTTTGATGATGTTTTACAACCAGCCATTATTCGGTACTAATTTGCTTGTTAAGTGAAAATATAGTTAATATATACATCAAGCGATGTTAGTGCCACTTATGGAGCGATTGGGATGGAATATGCCGTTACAACGATTTGATATCCAAAGGATTGAGGAGGCATAGTGATAAAGCAAACGTTCATTCAAGAACACCAAATGCAATTAAAAGAAGCTTCATCAAACTCAAGCAATATATCAAGACTACAAGAATTGATATATCTACGTAGGATATTAAGCTATACACCCTGGCGGGGGTTAAATCTGTTTTTTTATTTTCTCTCTAGTTTGGCTAAAATGTAGGCAAACTTAGCTTTTAGGAATTTAAATTAAAGCTATTGCGGAATATCACACACACGTTTTCATACTTATTTAGTTTTGACTGCGTGTCACAAAAAATACTATTTTTCACAAGTATGAGGACATATGTCGCAAAATTCTTTTTCCAAACAATTTGTTTTTATGTTAAAAAACATTTTACAAAGTTTTCACAATTTTAGAATCAATTAAATATTTTAAGAATTTTTTAAGAGAGGTCAAAATCAGGTTTTTTGAATGTTGTCAGTTTGCCAGTCGCAACGCACGGTTCGACCGCCGCCTGAGTTCATTCCTTGTCAGTGGCAACAGAGACTTTCACGGTTCGATCCGGCGTGGTCGACTGTGAGCTTGAATTTCCCACTGTGCGACCGCCAGAAGTCTCTGGACTTTTCTCAGCTTTCTTTAGTTGTCTCGCGGCGACCGCTGAAAATTGCCACCGGTCTGACCGCCGCTTAATTCAAACGCCGTTTTCTGCGTACTTTTCTCAGCGCCGATTGTACACAATTCTTAGCCGTCGATATATTTTCCTGGATTTGCGGGGATTATGGCGTATGGCGTTTTAAAACATATGTTTCTCCTATTTAAACTCATACACTCCTTCTTCCTCAAGTGTTCCAAGGCTTTTGAAAAACCAAAGACTTTTGTTTACTGAGATGCCAAAATTTTTCAAAACCTCGTGTTTTCTCAAGTCACATTCACAGCTTTTATTTTAATCTTTTCTCTTTGCCATAGGCCGACATTGTAAAGAGAGAGTTCTTACACCTTACTACTGTTTTGAGAGGAGCTTGATCTTGTGGCAGATTAACTGGTGTGGGCGTGTGATCTTGTGGCAGATCAACTGTGTAGTTGTGAGATCATGAGGCAGATCATTGTGCTAGAAGAAGTTTCGGCCTTCCAAACCGGGTCTGCTGTTAGCTGGATTTCTCCTTGGAGAGTGGGGGAGCGCAGGGACGTAGTGTCAGCGGACGCAACCTCGTTAATGTTGGCCTCTTTGTTTTGATGATGTTTAACAAATAATTTACCACTAATGTTATTTGTCTAGTGGTTTGATATATTTTCTATTTTATTATAGACAAACAACAAGTTGGAGGATGGATGGAATAGCGCTTCAACGACCGATATCAAATGGAGGTTGGCGCGAATTTGTGGCAGAAGAGCCTACGCCCTATTCAAAGCTTAAAGATCAAGTCAAGCTTTCATCCGCATAGTGCTAACCAAGTCAATCTTATTGAAGATCAAGATCGGCTTGGGTAATCTATGTTGGTTTTATATTATTGTGTGTTAAGTACCTTAAGCCCGCCAATATCATACACACACACGCTATTTGGTTTCTATGTATATATATAAGTTATATATATACATTGCATGGCTTCTGGAATTTCATGTTTTGGACACACTTACAAAATACATGAGTTTTTCACAAATAGGACAATTCAATTTAAGAAATTAGTTTTTTAATGCTGTTTGTTTCATGTTTATAAATATTTAGCAAAGTTTCATCAAGTTTGGAATTGATTTTTGTTATGTTTAATGGAATTTACAAAATCATGCTTTTTTTGTTCGTTGCACATGTTTCGTGCGATGTTTTAACAAAACAGATGAGTTGTTCATTAAATGGGAAGTGATATTCTAAGAATTTCTTTCTCTGCACATGTTTATCTACATGTTAGAAACTTCCTTTCAAAATTTTTTACTATTTTTGAGTTGATTTACTATGCCCAATTGAATTTACAAAACCGTATTTTCATCAGTTTTTTCAGAAACTGTTTTATCTGTAGTTCAAACATTTATTTTATCTCAACTGGGAAGTGATTTTTTCATAAATTTATTATCTCTAACATGTTCATCTACATGTCTAGAACCTTTCCTTTAAAATTTCATGATTTTTGGCAGTTGTTTTACTATTTTTAAAATTGATTTACAAAATCAGATACGCAAAATTACAGAACTGTCAAAAACTGGAAAATGACTGTGCACTGTTGCTATCAGTGCCGGTCGACCGCAAGGTCGGCCATGCTGACAGTGCGTGTCGACCGTTGCGGTCGAGCCGAACACAGATCCAGAACACATTTTTTGATTTTTTTCTCACGGTCGACCGCGCCGCGTTCTACCGCCCAAAAGTCTCTGGAGTTTTGTGAGATTCTATAATGTCTCGCGGTTCGACCGGAAAATTTCACGGTCGGACCGTTAGCTCCTTCCAGAACAAGCTTTTTTTGGCTTTTTGTTCTTCAGCGGTCGACGCCGATATGACCGTTTGCGCTTCCCAACGGCTAATTTTCTGAGCTGATTTTCTGGGACTGTTTGTCATTTGGCTTGGTTTTGGCTGAGATTTGACTGGCGTATAAATACCCTATTGTTGTTCTCTTTCAAGTTATCAAGAGAGTTTTTTAACCAAGTTTAAAAGAGTTTTAAAATAAGGGTTTTTTAGTTTTTTGGTTTAGTGTGCTTTAAGAAGACTTATATAAGCATTTGGAAGTTTGAGTTTGCATTAAATAAAATTTTCACAAGAGCTTGAGGAGCATCATCTATTGGTGTTTGGCATCCAACTATTCTCCTTCTACCTCTTGATCTATGAGAAGTTTTCTAACTCTTTTTCTCTAGCCAATTTTATTATTTGGTTCATATTCTTATTATTGCTAAGTTTTGCTATTTTTAGTTAGATTTGATTTATCTCATTGTTACACACACCCACTTTTTGAGCTTATTTGTATACATTTCATAATATATTTTGGGTTGCCGTGAGAGTTGTAACAATTTGAGTTGAAGCTTTCATGTGTTCTCATCCATAGTAGAGAAACCAACATTTATTGTCATTGAGCCTTATTCTGCTTGAGATTCACTTTTGTAATACACTTTTGTACATCGAGAGAAGTGTGGGCGAGAGTCTGGGGATCTCCCAAGAGGAAGTGGCCGTCGGTTTGACGAACCCTAGCGGAGAGGTTGCTAACCGACCCACTTGAGGGTCAGACACGTCTAGTTAAACACTTGTACGAGGGTGTAGAGTTGATTGCAAGAGTGGTGATTGTAAAGTTTTCGGTTAGCTAGAAAACCGAGCTGTGAGGTGTAAACGTTATTCGCGTGAACGTAGTAAAACCCGGGTTGCTGATGTGGATTTCCCCGAGAGTGGGGAGCGAGACGGTAGGACGGAAGGTTCAAACTCCGTGATCATATTGTGTGTTTGCATTATTTTATTTTGCACTATCACATTTGTAGTTTAATTATATTCACCTTTTGTGTTAGTTTATATATCCTGCACATAATTGCCTATATCTCTTTGTTAGGATATATCTTGTTGTTCATATTGCTTATCCTTAGTTCATATATTAGTTGTATTTCTACTTGCCCTTTAGGCATAACTTTTGTTAATTAATTTTTATTGGCCATAAAATCGGATTAGATTAGCATAAGACCCTAATCAACCCCCTCTTAGGGGTCTAACAGGTTAACACATCGGCGCGTCACAATGCATAAACGATTCCTAACTCTATCTCTATTTCTACTGCTTGGTTTCATTTTGTGATTTGTTGCTTGTGTCTCAATTTTTGATTGTACTGTTTAGCCTTCGAGACAAACTAATCACCCCCCTCTAGGGTCCAACAAATACAACTTAGACAAACCCGCATAAGCGCCCTCAAAAGGCACGAGCTCCACTTGTGGATCCCTAAGTGTCCACAGCTCCCCAAAATTAAATCTCTCTCTT